CACAGCTCCCCATTGACACCTCTCCAGCCCCCAAGGCTGCTTCAGGTCATGTTGGGTCAATGTTGGGTCAACGTTGGGTCAACATTGGGTCAATGTTGGGTCACTTAGTGACATCATCAGGCCCCGCCTTGGGCAGGGAGGGGTGGTGCTGAGGTCAGAGGTCACGTGGGGTCATGGGGTCACATGGTCTTGGTGGTGGGGTCACTCCTCATCGTGCAGCTTCTAGGGTAGGACAGGAGATGGAGCACGGTTATGGGCAGAGCCATGGGGCAGAGCCATGGGGCAGGGTGGTGGTGGAGGAGGTCCCACCTTGGTGCTGATGTCCCGGCTCTTGGCCTTCAGCTTGTTGACCTGGGACTCAGCCATGTCGGCGCGTTCCTCAGCTTCATCCAGCTCATGCTGCACCTTCCGGAACTTGGTCAGGTTGGTGTTGGCTTGTTCCTCCTGCAGGGGGTGACCTTCTGCTCCATCCATCCATTGTCCATCATCCACCCATCCATCATCCATCCATCATCCATTCATCATCCATCATCCATTCATCCATCATCCATCATCCATCCATCCATCATCAATTCATCCATCATTCATCCATCCATCCATCCATCATCCATTCATCATCCATCATCCATCCATCCATCATCCATCCATCCATCATCCATCATCCATCCATCCATCATCCATCATCCATCCATTCATCATCCATCATCCATCCATCCATCATCCATCCATCCATCATCCATCATCCATCCATCCATCCATCCATCATCCATCCATCCATCATCCATCCATCCATCCATCCATCCATCCATCCACCCATCCATCATCCATCATCCATCCCTCCATCCATCCATCATCCATCCATCATCCATCCATCCATCCATCCATCCATCCATCCAACCATCATCCATCCATCCATCATCCATCCATCCATCCATCATCCATCCATCCATCCATCATCCATCCATCCATCCATCATCCATCCATCCATCCATCATCCATCCATCCATCCATCATCCATCCATCCATCTATCCATCCATCCATCCATCCATCATCCATCCCTCCATCCATCCATCATCCATCCATCATCCATCCCTCCATCCATCCATCATCCATCCATCATCCATCCATCCATCCATCATCCATCCATCCATCCATCATCCATCCATCCATCCATCATCCATCATCTATCCATCATCCATCCATCCATCCATCCATCCATCCATCCATCCATCCATCCATCCATCCATCCAACCATCATCCATCCATCCATCATCCATCCATCATCCATCCATCCATCATCCATCCATCCCTCCATCCATCCTCCATCCACCCCTCCACCCACCCAACCTTCTCCTGCCCCGTCCCACCCCCCATTGTCCCTTCACCCACCGCCTCCTCCGCCTGCCTCTTGTAGGCCTTGACTTTCATCTGCAGCTTGTCCACCAGGTCCTGCAGCCGCAGGAGGTTCTTCTTGTCCTCCTCCGTCTGCAGACAGAGGACACAGACGGCGCTGGAGATGAGGCCTCACCACGCCTGGACACCTCCAAGGCAGGTATTGGTCGAGCTCTACCACGACCACCAGGTCAACCCCGTTGTAGCTCCGTGAGCCGCGGGTGACGTCCCTGTGGCCGCGGGGAGCCCCCCCGAGGTGCCCTCACCTGGTAGCTGAGCTCCTTGACGCGCCGCTCGGACTTGCGCAGGCCTTTGACGCTCTCGGCGTTGCGCTTCTGCTCGGCCTCCAGCTCCGTCTCCAGGTCCCGCACGCGCGTCTCCAGCTTCTGGAGCTGCTTCTTCCCCCCCTTGAGAGCCAACTGCTCGGCCTCGTCCAAGCGCAGCTGCAGGTCCTTGATGGTCTGCTCCATGTTCTTCTTCATCCGCTCCAGGTGAGCGCTGGTGTCCTGCTCCTTCTTCAGCTCCTCCGCCATCATGGCTGCCTGCGGGAAGAGGAGGGTCACGCCGTGATCTCCTTCACCGCGGCGCCGGACAAGCGGTGCTCTGCTCACGTCCGTGATGGCTTTCTTGGCCTTCTCCTCGGCGTTGCGGCACTCCTGGATGGCCTCTTCCACCTCGGTCTGCAGCTGGGAGATGTCCCCTTCCATCTTCTTCTTCTGGTTGATGAGGCTGGTGTTCTGCAGGGTGGAGGAGAAGACCTCAGGACGGGGGGGACCGGCAGACTTGGAGCATGGGAGATGGACGTCTTGGAAGCTTGGGAGATGCCCGCTTGGTTTCTGCATGGCTGGAGGTGCCCTCTCGGAGGCTGAGGAGGTCTCACCTGCGAGTGGAGGAGCTGCACCCTCTCGGTGGCCTCGATCAGCTCCTGCTCGGCCAACTTGCGGGTCCTCTCGGTCTGCTCCACCACCGCCCGCACCTCCTCCAGCTCGGCCTGCAGGAGGTTGTTCCTCCTCTCCACCATGGCCATGTTCTCCTTCAGGTCCTCGTTGATCCGCCCCACATCATCCAGCTGGAGTTGGGTGTCCTGCAAAGCACCACGGGATGGGGCACAGTGGGGAGAGGACGGGGATGCCCACCCATCACCACCATAATGGTCCTGGAGGTGGGGATGGGATGAAGAACCCTTGAGGACCACATGGGTGGAGACACCGGGGGCTACCCCAGAAGAGTGGAAGAACTTCTGGGGACCATCCCAACCTCCTCCATCTTCTCCTGCTGGGACCCCCATCCACCACCACCATACCTTGAGGTAACCCTGCAAGGTCTTGACTTGCTTCTGGGCCTCAGCAGCCGCGCGGTTGGCGTGTCCCAGCTGGATCTCCATCTCATTGAGGTCACCTTCCATCTTCTTTTTCAACCTCAAGGCCTCGTTGCGGCTCCGGGTCTCAGCGTCCAAGGAGGTCTGCAGGGAGTCCACCACCCGCAGGTGGTTGCGCTTGGCCTGCTCCATCTCCTCGTCCTTCTCGGCCAACTTGCGCTCGTGGTCCACCTTGACCTGGTTGAACTCCAGCTGGGCCCTCAGGATCTTCCCTTCTTCATGCTCCAGCGAGGCCTGGTGGGAGGGATGGAGAAGACCTTGATGAGCATGGGGACAGAAGGGTGCAGGACACCCATGGGGCCGGGCTCACCTCCGCCTCCTCCAGCGCCGCCTGGAGCTCCAGCTTCTCAGCGTCCAGTTGCTTGCGGACCTTCTCCAGCTCATGGATGCTCTTGTGGCTGGAGCCCAGCTGCTCCGTCAGGTCCGAGATCTCCTCTGAAGAGGGTGGAGGACCCATCACAGCACATGGACAACGGTGGGGAAGCACCAGGTGGGTGCGAGGACCCCAAGGTCTCACCTTGAAGGTTCTTGTTCTCCCTCTTGAAGGTCTCCAGGTGCTCCAGGGCCTCCTCATAGGCATTCCTTAGCTTGAAGAGCTCCGTGCTGAGGGCTCGGGCCTCCTTCTGCGAGGCCTCCAGCTCAGCCTGAGCCTCCTCCACCTTCTGCTTCCACTCAGCCAGCACCTGTGGGCACCACCAGGGCATGGGCACTGCGGGAGAAGCTCCTCATGCTCCTGCTCCTCCTCATCCTCTACATCTCCTCCTCCATGTCCTGCTCCTCCTCCTTCTCTTCCTCCAAGTTCTCATTCCACTTCTCATCTTCCTCCTCCTCCTTCTCCTCCACCTCCCTCCTCTACATCCTCCCGCTCCTTCTCTCCTTCTCCTCTTTCATGTTCTTCTGTCTCTCCTCCTTCTCCTCATCTTACTCCTCCTCTATGTCTCTTCCTTCTCTTTCTTCCCATCCTTGTTCACCTCCTCCACGTCTCTTCCTCTTCCAAGTCCTCATCTTTCTCTTCCATTTCCATCTCCTTCTCTTCCTCCTCCATCTCCATGTCTCCTCCTTCTCCTCCTCCTCCCTCTCATTCTCTTCTTCCTTCTCTTCTTCCTCATCCTCCTCCACATCTCCTCCACCATTTCCTCCTCCTTCTACTTCTCTCTCCTCCACCTCTTCCTCTTCCACACCCTTCTCCTCCTCCTCTTCCACCCCCTCAAGCCCCTGTTGTGCCCCCAACCTTATCAAAGTTCCTCTGCTTCTTGTCCAGGGCGGCCGCTGCCGCATTCGACCGCTCCAGGTCCACCAGCAGGTCCTCGATCTCGTTCTGCAGCCGGTGCTTGGTCTTCTCCAAGGAGGAGCACTTGGCGTTAACGGCCTCCACCGCCTCCTCGGCCTCCTGCAGCCGCTGCGCCAGCTTCTTCCTGCCCAGGGCCACCAGGAGATGCAGTTGTGGCCACCTCAAACCTTCTCCCACTCACAGGTTGGCCAAGGCTCAACTCTTCACCTCCAGGTCCTGCAACCTCCTCCAGATCCTTCTAGACCAATCCCATCTCCTCTAGAAGAACCCAATATTCTCTAGATCTTCTGTAGGCCAACCCAGCCTTCCTTGGACCTCCAGACCAGCCCAACCTCTTCTAGACCTTTCCTAGACCAACCCGAGGTTCCTTAGCCCTTCTCTAGACAAATCACATCCCCTCTAGAACTTCTGGAGACCAACACCCCACCTGTTCTAGACCAATCCAACTTCCTCCAGGCCTTCTCTAGACCGATCCCACCTCCTCTAGGCCTTTCTTAGACCTTCTGCAGGCCAACCCAACCTCCAGGTCCTCCAACCTTCTCCCGAAGGCCCTCAGGATGGCCTGAAGACCTCATGGTGTCTCCCCACTGCTGTCCCCATCCATAAGGTGATGTCTCCTCACTTGGCCTCCTCCAGCTCCTCGGTGCGCTGGATGGCGTCTGTCTCATACTTGGTCCTCCACTGGGCCACCTCGGAGTTGGCCTTGGAGAGGGCGCGTTGGAGCTCGGCCTTGGCCTCGGTCTCCTCCTCGTACTGCTCCCGCAGGAGGTCACAGTCGTGCCGGGCCGACTGCAGGGCGTGCGCCAGTGCGTTCTTGGCCTGGGGGCAAGAAGAACAAAAGGGGGCACCATTGGGTCAAGGTCAAGGTGACCCCTCCTGGGCGGCTCCAGCTTGGCAAGAAATGGGCTTCATCAGCCCAGCCCAACCAGAGCTTCTGGAGACCAACCCAAGCTCCTCCTGACCTTCTCTAGGCCAACCCATCTCCCTCCAGGCCAACTCGGCCTTCTCCAGACCTTCCTTATTCCAACCCAGCCTTCTCCAGACCTTCCTTATTCCAACCCAACCTCCTCTAGACCTTCCTTATTCCAACCCAACCTCCTCTAGACCTTCCTTATTCCAACCCAACCTCCTCTAGACCTTCCTTATTCCAACCCAACTCCTCTAGACCTTCTGTAGACCCAACCAAACCTCTGAAGCTTCTCTAGACCAACCCAACCTTCTCTAGGCCTTTAAACACAACCCAGCCTCCTCTAGACCAACCCAACCTTGCGTAGACCTTTCTTAGACCCAACCCAACCTTCTTTAAACCTCTTCTAGACCAACCCAACCTCCTCTAGACCTTCTCCTGATCAACCCAATCTTCCTTAGATCTTTAGGATGAGATAGGACCATTGGCTTCCCATCACCTTGCAGTCCCTTGAGGTCCTCCAGCTCATCACCACTGCTGTTCCTCAGTGTTCCAAACCTTCTCTTGACCATCCCATCCCCACCTCCCTCCCCACCCAACAGTGTTCAGGCCAGCCCAGTTGTTCTTCTCCATGGTTGATCCCACCCAACGGCCCGTAGAGCAACCCAACCCATTCACTGCTGGATGGAGGGACCCCAAATCCACCACGGTCAGGTGGAACCACCTTTAGTGTGGAACCTCCATGAGTTGGAAGCACCCTCAGATGGGACCTCCATAAAGTGGAACTTTATGGAACTGAACCAACTTTCAGATGGAACCACCCAACCCAACCAGCCTGAATGTAATTCCTCTTGGGTTTTACCACCATAAGGCTGAAGGTGACCAGGTCTCGTGTCCTCTCTTGGAGACCCCCGGTCTTCCCAACCCTCCAAACTCACCTTCACCTCCTCCTCCAGCTGCCTCTTCAGGTCCTCCAGCTGCTGGGTGTACGACTGCTTGCCCCTGGTCAGCTGGGAGATGAGGGCCTCCTTTTCGTCCAGCTGCCGGCTTAGCTCTCCTGGGGGGGTCCATAGGGCATGAGGGGTGAAGAAGTGGGGCAAGGGGGTAAAGATCTGGGGCAGGAAGGTGAAGATGTGGGGCAGGAGGTCCCACCGTTCTCAGTCTGGAGCTTTGCCCGTTGGGTGGTGGTGTCATTGAGGACCCGTTGGGTTTCCTCCAGCTTGGCGCGGTGCTCGGCTGCCTGGTCCTCCATGGTGCGGGAGACCTTCTCCATGGCCACCTTTGAGGAGGGCAAAGGCGTGAAGCAAGAGCCTGGTGCCCACTGTGGGGCTGTGGCGTCCACCTCAACCTCCTCCTACCTTGGCTTTGAGCAGCTGCTCCATGTTGGAGCTGAGGTCATCCAGCTCCAGCTTGAGCTCGCTCTTCTCCTTCTCCAGCTTCTGCTTGACCCGCTGCAGGTTGTCCAGCTGCTCGGCCAGCTCGGCCACGCCGTCGGCGTGTTTCTTGCGCAGGGCGGCCGCGGTGGCCTCGTGCTGCAGCGTCGCCTCCTCCAGGTCCCGCCGCATCTTCTGGAACTCGGCCTCTCGCTTCTTGTTGAGCTCCAGCTGCACCGAGGTGGCTCCTCCGGCCTCCTCCAGGCGCTCGCTGAGCTCCTCCAGCTCCCGCGACAGCTCCGAGCGGAGCTTCTCCACCTTGGCCCTGCCCGTCCGCTCGGCCTCCAGCTCCTCCTCCAGCTCCTCGATGCGCGCCTGGGGCCAGCGAGGGGAGGGCAGGGTTAGAGGTGGCTTCACCCGTTGCTTCTGCTTAGCCAACCGGCTGCAGGGCCTCCAAGCCACTCATCCCAACCCAACTCAACCAACTTCAACTCAACAGAAGGAGATGGACACACTTCAACTCAACTCAACACAAGGAGATGGAGACCCTTCCACTCAACTCAACACAAGGAGATGGAGACCCTTCCACTCAACTCAACACAAGGAGATGGAGACCCTTCCACTCAACTCAATACAAGGAGATGGAGACCCTTCCACTCAACTCAACACAAGGAGATGGAGACCCTTCCACTCAACTCAAGGAGATGTAGACCCTTCCACTCAACACAAGGAGATGGAGACCCTTCCACTCAACTCAACACAAGGAGATGGAGACCCTTCAACTCAACTCAACACAAGGAGATGGAGACCCTTCAATTCTACTCAACTCAAGCAGATGGAGACTCTTCTGCTCAATCCAACTCAAGGAGGTGGAGGCTCTTCAACCCAACTCATCTCAACCCAGCCCTACCAGCTGGAGACCCTTCAACCCAACCCCCTGGGTCCCTCACCTGCAGCTCCTTCAGCTTCTTCTGGAGCTGCAGGGCCAGCGCCTGCTCGTCCTCCATCTTGCTGTTCTGCTGGTGGATCTCAAAGTCCTTCCTGTGGAACCCAATGGTGGGGGGACACTGAGGACCCTGCCCGTGTCCCCCACACGTGCTGGGCCCACACAAAGGAGGTCCCGCCTCACTTCTTCAGTTTCTCCTCCAGCTGCTGTTTGTCGTTCTCCAGGTCCATGATGTTCTCCTGGGTCAGCTTCAAGTCACCTTCCAGCTTCCTCTTGGCACGTTCCAGGTCCATCCGGATCTTCTTCTCCTGCTCCAAGGAGCCTTCAAGCTGCGAGGAATGGGGAGAAACCTCAGGTTGTCCCCACCAACCAAGGTTGTCCTCCTCATCAAGGAGGTCCTCAGATGGTGGCCCTGGTCCCTGCTCACGTCATCTGCCTGCTGTTCCAGCTTGACTTTGGCCTTGGTCAAGGTGTTGACTTTGTCTTCCTCGGCTTGCAGGTCATCCAGCGCTTGCTGGTGAGCTTCTTGCAGGGCCTTCTTCTCCTTGGTCAGCTTGGTGATGGTCTCATCCAAGCTGGCCATCTCCTCAGTGAGGTTCTTCACCTGGAGAAGGAGAACATCAGGCAGCCACCGTTACAGGGTTGGGGCTTCTCAGCCAGACTTGGATCTTCTCAACCCAATCCAACCACCCTTGGGTCTCCTCAACCAAACCCAATGGGCCTTGGGTCTTCTGAACTCAACCAGACTTTGGCCTCCTCAACCCAATCGAGCTTGGGTCTCCTCAACCCCATCCAGGCTGAGGCCTCACCTTGTTCTCAGTGGCATGTTTCTCCTTCTCCACCTTGGCCAATGTCAACTCCAGGTCATCGATGTCCTTCTTCAGCTCAGAGCATTCGTCTTCGAGCTTCCTCTTCTTGGCCGTGAGCTCAGCGTTCATCTCCTCCTCCTCTTCCAGCCGCTCCGTCAGCTCCTTCACCTTGGCCTCCAGCTGGATCTTGTTCTTGATCAACTGGTCACAACGCTCCTCGGCATCCGTCAGGTTGTCCTGCTCCTGTGGTGGGGCGGGGGGTGATGACGGGAGGTCCCATGGGGGGTGGTGACCCCTCCTAGAGGTGCTTTTGGGGCTCATCTCACTCACAGCCTGCACTTGGAGCTGGAGGTCGTTCTTCTCCTGCAGCATGGAGACCATCTTCTCCTCCAGCTCCTTCCGCCGCGCTTCTGACTTCTCCAGGGCTTCCTTCAGCCGCCCAAACTCCTCCTTCATGGTCTGGGGGAGGGCCAAAGGTCCCTCCATGAGTGTCCCCACATCCTCCTCCTCAGCCTTCATCCCATCCCCGACCCACCTGCATCTCCTTCTCCGTCTCAGCGCTCTGCAGCAAGGGCTTGATCTTGAAGTAGAGCTTCATCCACGGCCAGTTCTTCACCCCCATGAAGGCCCGGATGTTCCATTGGATCACCAACAGCGCGTCCCTGGATTGGCCACGGTGAGGTGTCCATCACCAGGAGCGGGCCCACCCCCATGCCCCACAGCTCCACCACCCCACCTGCGCTCCAGGATCTTCTTGAACTCGAGGCGCATGAGTTGTCCCCGGGCTTGCGCTTGGATGCGGGTGATGATGCGGGAGAGGCGCTCGTCCCGCATCTCCTCCAGCTGCCCCAGCAGCCCAGCCTTGAAGAAGACCTTGGTGGAGAGATGAAGACATCGGCTTGCTTGGGGGACGAAGAACACACTTCGGTGGTGAGATGGAGCCCAGGGAGCTCCAATGGGCAGGGGACCATGTGGCGGGTAGAACAGTGAGGTCTAGATGACCTCCTGGGTGGTGGCACCATGGGGACCGTCACCCTTAGGCCCTCACCTTGGTGTGGCCAAATTTATACTGGCTGTGGTCAATGTCGATGGAGCCCAAGAGCTTCTCAGCACCTTTCCTGCTGTCAATGAACTGGCCTTCAGGGATGGCCGCCGGGTTCAAGATGCGATACCTGGTGGCCGCAGAAGATGAGGACAACCCAAGCTCAGCCCCCTATGGCTTTGTCCACCTCATCCCACCATCTCCTGGGCTCCTACCGTTGACGGAAGTCCCCGTAGAGGATGCGGTTGGGGAAGCCCTTGCGGCAGATGCGGATGCCTTCCAAGACCCCGTTGCAGCGGAGCTGGTGCATCACCAAGGGGTTGTCCATCACCCCTGGGGAGGAGGGGGGGGGGAGAAGGGGGCATGGTCAGCTTCAAGCCCTGCCCCTCCCCATCACAAGGACATCACCCCCTTCTCCTCACCTGGCTCCTTCCGCTCATTGGGGATGAGGCATCGGACGAAGTGGGGGTGGGTGGTCTTGAGGTTGGTCATCAGCTTGTTGAGGTTCTCCTGCGGGTGGAGAAGAGGGTTGGCCAAGGGGAAGGAGCTATGGGGCAGGGGGTGGAGCCACATGGGTCCCATACCCGGTGCAGAGCAGACACGGTCTGGAAGGAGGAACCTTTCTTCTTGGCTCCTTTGCCCTTCCCTCCATCACCACCTGGAGATAAAAGATGATTCCATGGAAAACTGCCTTCTCCATCTCCCCACCCATCACCCCCTACCCAACCACCCACCGGGGTCTGCCCCAGCGTAGTTGGAGAAGAGGCTGGCCAAGAGCTTGAGGCCTGACTTTTGGTAGAGCCCCACCACCGTCTCGTTGAGAGGGTCCTTGTTCTTCTCCAACCAGCCAATGATGTTGTAGTCCACGGTGCCAGCGTAGTGGACCAAGGAGAAGTGGGCTTCTGTCTTGCCTTTGACGTTCCTGGGCTTCCCAAAGTTGGACGACTTGCCCAAGTGGTTGTCGTAGAGTTTGGCCTTGAAGGTCATGTCCGAAGCCTTGGGGAACATGCACTCCTCCTCCAAGATGGACATGATCCCCATGGGCTGGCAAGGAGAAGACCTGCTTGGTCATGGCGGACACCAAGCAGGACCTAAAGTGCTTCTCCAGCCACCTTGGGGGCAGTGGTACCTTCTCGATGAGGTCAATGCAGGCCTGGAGGTCCATGCCGAAGTCGATGAACTCCCACTCAATGCCCTC